CACGAAATCTGCGCTTCGAAGTTCACAAAGTGCTGCGCCTGCCACGAAATCTGCGCTTCGAAGTTCACAAAGTGCTGCGCCTGCCACGAAATCTGCACTTCGAGGTTCACCAAGTTGCCGCAATTTCAGCACCTTCGAAAGTTAGGTTTTCCACCGTCGAGTCAGGTGGTGTAATGCAGATGAAAGTGGCCATGTCCTAGCCAAGCTCTACACAAAGAGAGGTATCTCCGAGGTATCTCCGGGGCAGAACTGTGCAAACATGCTCTTGAGGTGACAGCAAAACAACAAGTTCCCATCTCTGCAGAGGTTTGCCTGAGCAAGGCACAACAGTAGCTTCACACTTAGCTTCACCTATTGACCAATTGAAGAACTTTGTGGACAAAATCTGCAGAATAAAGACAAACTACTGTATAAGTAAAATACACGTTGTACAGGCAAAGTGCACAAAACCTATATGTGGAAGATTCAAAACCAGCAGATTCATTTTAAGTCTGCTAACTACAAAAACTTGGAAGATTCAACATCAATCTTCCAGATTCATTCTTAGTCTTCCAAAATAAGTTTTAACACATTGAGTCTTCTCGAAGTCTATAGGTTTGCGGGAACAAACAGCACCCCAGAACCGACTCGAAGCTATGCACTGGTCGACCGAGCTCCCGGTACTGTCCCCCCCGTCACCCACCTCTGGCTGTGCCGCTGCAAAGTGCCCCGAGCGGAACAACCGCCCGCGGCGCAGCGGCCGCTTCGGCGGCGGCGACCCACAGGTCGAATCGGCGAGGTCACGGAAGTTGGCGACCCGGCGGAAGGGAAACCTCAAGGGCGTGGAGGGGGGTTTTGGGGTCGGTTCAGTGGTTAGTGGTTCAGTGGTTTTTACTCGCAAGACCCAGCACCACCACTTATAGGAAGAATTGAACACCGCTGCTCGCAGCGTGTTGAACATGTTAACGGATTGATTTCTAGCTTTCCCCCGTTTGGGTTTGTGGATCGGACGCAAGATATGTGAAGAAAACCGGCACGGACGCTTGTGTCAGGTCTTGTGTGGAGTGGTCAGGACTGGACACCACACGTCAGGTCAACAAGTTGCTGCAACGCATAGGGCGAACAAAACCGGGCTCCTGGCCCACCTCCGTTTCGGTTCGGTGGGCCAGGGGTGGGTGCCATTGGGGGTCGAAGACCACCGGTCACCTGAGGAGATGGGACGTTCAGACCGCTAGGGACATATTGCAAAATCAACTTCCAACATGTGTCCAATCAAAAAGACCCTTGAAACATGCGTTGCCTCATCTAGGGCGGACATTCCCCAAATGAGGCGACCAGAAGGGCCGCTGAACGAAAAAACCTGTTGCGGAGACTAAGGGCGGGACGTCGCAACAGATCAGGACTACACTGCAAAGCCAAGTCAACTACTTTAATGGTCTTGGAAGGGTAGGGTATAAGCCTCCGTTAGCATTCATTGGGTCCTGGCAGTGGAGAATTTTCTTGATCAAAGCAAGCTTCGGAAATCGCGGTTCGCAAATCGCTGGGCATAAGCATCGCCACGAAAAAAAACCCTGCGCCAAGCAGCCATGCAGTGAAGCCGTCACCGGGCATTTCCACCTGCGCGAGTGCGGCACCACCATAAAGGTTACTCACGTTGGTCTCACGAACCATCGCTTCCCAGACACTCCATGTATGGCATATTTACCTACATTGGGGTAGTTTGAGGGGTCAATGTAGGCATATATGACAGACATGGAGTGTCTGGGTAGAGTCCCAAAAAAACCTTCGACGTGAGCACCAAGCACGGTGACCCCTACAATAAAACAAAGCACCACCGGAAACAGAACGTCGATGCGATGGGCGTTGGTTGGATCTCCCACGTGCCGTCACGCCAGGGAAAGCCTTGATCTAGAGCGCCCAACTTACTGTAACTGTAGAAGACTTTGATGCGTCGAAACGCGCTGATCTACTTTATTTTCATGTTTTGTTCGCGCGTTGAAGTGATGTCCTGAAGTTTTTCTTCAAGCAAGGATAGGCTGTATCTGATAACCCGCCTTGCAAGTTTTGGAACACGTGTACGAGACGTTAGGAAACTGATGTCACTTGTAATTCCCGTTGGCTCATAGTTCGGTAGCTGAGAGGCTCCGATCCAAAACTGATGACCCTCTTTTGCACATCGACATGGAGCTTTGAGGGACTATTGATGTGCACCTGCCGTCCCCATAAGCTGCACACAAAGCCGGTCCCCATACATCTCTGTGGGCAGCCGGATGACATCTTTTTATTCCACATTGGATAATTCCCTACACCTCCAAGTACCTCCTCAGAAGGTATTTGGACCCTCCAAACCTACCCCAAACCCCATCTCAGAAGGTACTTGGAGGTCTACGGTTCTTGGCTTATTGCCCAATGACTGCCCGCTAGCCTTCGATTGGTCGACCTCCGGTACTGTGTCTGCCTGGACCCGTCCAAAGTACCTTGCAAAATGGGACATGACATGACTCATGACTCTGACATACTCTGACCCGAACAAAAAGCAGCTAGTTGCGGACCCATTTTCCCAGGTACGTCACCTGAGACTGGTTTTTGGAGAAGGTGTCCGCCCTGTCAAACCGTTTGACCCTCCTGACGTCGTTGGACTGCACCCCAGGTGCTCCGAGTACTCCCCGGGTCGAGACGAAACGAAAGACCGGTCGACCCTTCGAAAGCACATAGCTTATACTCCTGGAACCCCAGTCCCAACCAGAAATCAATGGTGGTTCCACAAAGGAAACCTTTACATTCCTTTACATAGGAAATGGCTGGGACTGGGGAGTTCCATCCATTTCTGGTTGGGACTGGGGGTCCAGGCAACACCATACGACATGGGGTGTGTCTTTATTTACAGGAAAACACCCCCTGGCCTTTTTACTGTAGACTGATGACTTTGCCTGCTTGACACAATCACCGTTGTTCGTCCGCGTCCCACGTCCCGCGTCCCACCACGCCCATTCAGTTCGGTGTGGGGCCTCCATCGTCACTCTAGGGAGGTGCGTCGTCGGAGTCTCAAGCTCACATTCCTCCAGCAACGCCTCTCCGACCGCCGCCGACACACTTATTAGGCCAGTCGGCAGATCTGGAGACCCGGTGGTGGTCGGACGTGGACGGTTCCGTTATAGGTGTCTATATTTGTTTGGGGGGGGACTTCTAATTACTTAGTGCTTCTATAGACTTCCAAGACCCATGATCCAAAAAAGGTTGACCTGGTTTGGGACTGCAAAATCCTGCTTCGGTCAATATTAACTGGCGGTTTGAAGCCGTTCGGCGGGGGCTTCCTGAACATTTCACGCCGGGACCGCTTTCTTGATTTTGGAAGCTCTCATGCCCATATGGATCCACATTCCTTCTAAGAAGGTGATTGGAGACTATGTAGGCGCCAGGAGGGTCCAATTATTGCCTTCTGAGAAGGTATGTGGATCCATAGGGATGGATGGTCATGGTGAATTCTCTACTTTGGAGGTGGAGGGTCCAGTCCGCTGGAGAAAACAACAACAAGTTGTCGAAGGAACATGTTGTCGACACAATTAGCACATTGAACTATACCGGTCCCCGAATGGATGGCACATCCGGCTGGAAAGAGCCTAGAGGACTAACCATCACAGGTCATTTGTGCCATCTATCCAGGGACCGGTATAAATTAAAGTGACTGTGGGTCAAAACCTGGCGACCTTGGTCAACCACCGTAAATGAACAGATGATTCCTCTATCAGATAAGTCAGCCTTCCATCCCTAGGGCTCCGAACGCCCCATCTCCTCAGGTTTCGTGGTATTCGACCCCCCTGGCACCCACCCCAACCATCTTCGAAACGGAGGTAGTTGGAGCGCTAGGGCTTATTTGGTGGTTGTGCCTTTATCCAAGGTGTTGGCAGTTCGTTCGTGGCCCATGGCAACGTTCGTATCCGTACCAGCCACCATCCTCCGTGGCAGCCACCACCCCTATGGATCCACCGAACCGGTTTGGTACGGTGAGCAGGGAGACTATTGATGGTTCGGCGCCAGGAGGATCAGCCGGACGCCTTCGTTTCGGTTCGATGGGCCAGGGGTGGGTGCCAGGGGGGTCTGTGCCCACCGAACCTGAGGAGATGGGGCGTTCGGAGCCCTAGGGCTTGGAGGATCCAAGGACACCTTCTGAGGTACGGTGGCAGTGGATCTATAGGGTATAGAGACCAAACGCACTGCACACCCCTGAACGATTTTCCGGGTAGCGTTGGGCATCGTTGGGCCGGTGACCTGTAGAGTCGGGTGCTTGGATTCATCTATGGACTGGGTATCCCATTCCCTGTAACAGTGGATGATGGCTAGAAACCAGGCCCTTCGCGATCAGTGATCAGCTTTTTCGAAACTCTTACAGGTCATGGGAAACACACAATTATGATGGATTCTTGACAGATTCTGGATCCGTGCTCTATATGAATCCTTCGCAATGCATGGCGGTGCATGGCGGTGTATGTCCTGTCCCAACCTTCAGGGCCGAGGAATCCATAGGATCCACCCTCGGGATCCACGGTGCCGACCCAGTGGCAGTGGATCCTGCTGAACGCCAGACGGTCGTCCCCGTTGGCACCGAAACCAAAAACCAACACGCACCTGCCTTGATCTCAGGTTGCTTTTTTGATATGTAATCAACAGCTATGTCCCAAAAAATAAACACACAACATCAAACAGGTTGTTTAAACATAGTTCATGATATTTGCCACAATCTCTCCGTTTGGTAAAGTTTCTAGCAACACAATCAGCCCTGGTGATTGAACTTTATCATCAAGCAGCGTGAAGGATTAGATCAGAACCAATCATTGGACGCCCCTTCTGAACAAGTCCTTGTGCTTCTGCCAGCAGGTTCACAAGAATGCAGCGATCGATGGGGAAAACAGCCAGCTCTCTGAACAACAGCTCCCAACACTTAATTGATTGAAGCAGAGCAACCTCATGAATTCATATCATGAATTGACTATATACCATGATGCAAGTAAGTACCTTTTGGCCTTTTGATTCCCTTCCTTCCCACCACACCTACAAGCAAAACCACTGCCTTAGTGGAACACCGATGCCTCACACCCACGTGGATCACACAGGCGAACGAAAAAGACGGGGCCCCGGTAACAAGGTCGCCGTGGCTCGCCTTCCCTTTGATCTTCACGGACACGAAGCCAGCGCGCGGGCCGGTGCCACGCAGGAGCCGGAAGCGCAAGCGCGAGGAGAGCGACACAGGCGCCTGTCACGGTTGTGGCGAAAGCGCATCGAGCGATGGCTGGAGCGATGACCCCAAAAACACCTGTATATAGCCAATGGGTATGAGTCATGGTAGGTCTATTTTTCATACTTGGGCATTCCACATAGTCATGGGTGAGAGGTAGGACATCAGCATCAAAAAAACACAACACTGAAGGCATCGATGGAGTGGAGCAAACACCTATATATAGGCAAACCTTGCAGCACGGAACAGCACGGAACAGCATTTTCGATCCAGTCCGAATGCCACTTCAGCACCAAAGACCACGTCGTTCGTCTCGTTCGTCTCCCGTCCGATTTCTTTCGTGCACGTCGATGGATTGATTTTTTTTTTTGGACACGACTGATGGGACTGGATGGATGCAGCTTACGTTACGTTTAAGGTAACTCTTCCATGGTCATTCCATCCATCTAAGGCATCTCATCCAGTCCCAAGGATCGTCTATATTATATAGATAGGTTTTACTGGGTTGGCCTTTGGGCCTTGCCGAAAAATGTTTTCTCATTTGGCCATTTGGGGGTTTGGTGCACATAAACTTAGTCTTATAACCAGACAAAAGTTAAGCACACCTTTTTACTCAACAACGCGAAAGGTCAGCGGTCAGCAGAAGCACCTGGCCAACAAAGGTTTAAAGCAAAGAAGTAAAGCAAAGCAAGAAACAAAGCAAAGGAAGAAAGTGGAAGGCGGCAACAGCACCCTTTTGGACAGTCAAACGGCGGTGACGTTTGGGGCCCATATGGGACCTTCCCAACTGTGAGGCTGAGGCTCTTGTGAAAATGGACTTGATGTGGTCAGGCCTTGGCCGCACGCCAGCCGCCTTTGGCTGGTCAGGCTGGTCAGACAAAGTTGAGGCTGAGCCATTGGTGGCCTTTGAAACTTTGCTAAACACGGCGCCATCCCTGTTGTCAATCCTTCGCACTTTCCGAAGAAAACCGCAAACATCACTTAAGCCATTGATGTGCCAGTAGTCAGGCTTAGGCTTGGACAGGTCAGGCTTGGAATGGTCTTCATCCTCCACTGTCCACTTGCCAGACTTGTCAGCCCGGGCCAACTTATGAAAGCTGGCTGCCAAATCTGGATAGACAGTCCTGAACCTCTTTGTCAACATGAGCTTGGCTATCATCAAGCCTAGCGACTTCTGAAACATCATGACATCAGGGAAATGTGGCCGTCTAAGATCGAGTTCCCTCCACTTGTTGGACTGAACCACTGCACAGCCAAGCGCAACCACGAGCATCGCTAACTGGACAGTGCCTTTCTTTGGAGGCGCATCAGACGCAAACAGAACGTCAGACCTCATGTTCTTGACCACGACATAGTCAACCCTGTTGTCAAACACAGCGTCATTGCAGCCCCAGGCCATCACAACAACAGACCCCTTTGGCTTGTCTTGCGACACATCAGACAAAGGGACATCGGCCACATTGACAACCACATTCCACTGTCTCTGGGCTTCCAAACACACCTGACCAGGCTTGAAAACGCCCCCAGGCCTCATGTTAGTCAGTGAATGCGTGCGGAACGCCGACCTGTTGACAGTCCACTGGTTTTTGGTGTAACTTCTGAACTTCTGCAGGCCATCATTCTTGTCAGGCTGGTGTTGTCGAAGTAGTCGCGGAAAGAGGTCACCAAGCTTCTTGCCTGCCACTGTGTTTGCCTGGTCGGACCGGTCAGACCGGTCAAGCATGCGTTTGATGGACTGTCTTCGGGCATTGACGACAGACACTTCACTTCCAGGCTTCTCGGGCCTCTTCACGCCAGCGTCAGACCTCTGCTTGTATAAAGCAAACCGTCTTCCATGGTGCCTGAGCCAAAGACCTGCCCAATCCCTTGAAAGGTCAGTCAAGCCATGAGCTGCTTGAGTGAGGCCACTCTTCTCATCAGCTTTGTTCCTGATGCAAATTTCGGGCCACCCAACACAACCAATAGCATCTCGTCCATGGTCAAGCCAGAGTCCAACATTGGCCCACAGTGCTTCTCCAACAAGGACTTGGTCAAGCTCAGGCTTTGTTCAACTGCAACCGTAGTTTGCTCTATGGAACAATACCACGCTATCAAGGGTGTGACAAACCTCAGCTCACGCAAGTTGCCAAGTTTGGTGCCCCACCAAGTCTTGTTGTCAATCTCGTCAGTCTCAGTCGTTGTCCTGCAGGGGTTCATATGTGACTGTGGAAAGCATTGGCTCTCAAAATGACTGTCTTTGGTGAGCCTGAACTAAACATCAAATCAGTGTGACCCTAGCCCAAGATTCAACTAACTGAAGCGGTTGACAGGACCGGTCCCTCCTCTTGGCATAGACAAGCCTCAGGGCACATGCGCTGAACTCTTCTCCCAGCTTAGCCTCGTCGCCAGGGTTGGACAAGATGCGAGTCCCCTGAAATGACCTGGCCAAAGCAATGGCACGGCATCTTAGGTCAGTGTCAATCTTGGCTGCTGCATGCATGTCAGACCGCTGCAAGGCCACCATCTTCTCCCACCGCTTCAAATCAAAACATGCAAAGTTGAGGTGAGTGCCTCTGTCCGGAAACTCTGCAGTAAGTCTATCCTAAGTTGACCAAATTCAGTACTTCAGTTGAGTGAACAATGTATAAATATACTTATTAAAGTTTAACTTACACCAACTGACTACAAAATCTAGGACACTGCGGAGGCTCCAAACTTGCCTCAGCAATACTCCTCATGGATGTCATAGCTCTCTTGATGTCATCCGCCCCTGTTGGGCTCCAGAGGGTGAACAATCTGCTGCCAACAATGAGTGGTGGCGTTTCTTTGGCAACCTTTATGGCCATAGCGGTGTATGACCTGAAGTCTCAGCACAATCAAAATGACCAGTGACGAACATCCCAACAGCTACCTGAACTGGTTTCTCTGCTTCATGGCTTCCTCGACAATTCAAGTCTTAGTCCTAAGTGTCTTTTGACTTAAACCTGTCGGTGAGAAAGCAATCTGATCATCAAAAAGCGGTCTTTATGATAAACAAAGGGCTGGTTCTCGTCTTCATCAGGCTGGTCAGGCTGGACCAGAATCCCACCATCAATGTACAGCTTGCTCACCCTGGACTTGTAATCGTCAAGGTGGTCTTTGGCCAGCGCTATGTCAGACAACCGCTGTGCCTCAAATATTTTGACAAGGCGCCCCGCGTCATCCCCCCAATCTGCCATAAGGCCAGCTATGGCTGCGTGGTGAGGGGTCATGCGTTCAAGCATCGACAGTGCTCGATCTCGTTCTTTGCCTGTCAGACGTAAGTCAGCCGCGCGGAGTGACAGGAGTAAGGCAATGGAGGACTGCAAAAACACATACCTGCGCTGCGGGACAACTGTGGATTCCCACCTGTGCGCTGCAAACGACATATGCCGGAGAACAGTTGTCAAACCTGTACTGGGTTTCGGCCCGAAGCCGTTGTCAAGCGTGGCATTCCTTGGATCCATCACCATGCCAAGTGGTGATGTGGGCAGAGTTGAATGAACTAACACTCTCAGATGCCTATTGCACAACGACTCGTCAGTCAAAAGCCCGAAACAGGTGCCAAGCTTTAACTATTAAGACTAAAAAAATTGCTGAGACACAAACAAGCCACTGGGCAGCAACCAGGGTATACCGCAACTTTTGCGAATACTGTATTGACGGAACAAGACTATGTTTCGAGTCAAACACCTGAAGTTGGGTTGGGGCAGCCGACAATCACAGAAGGACCACCCACCCCAAAAGGACAACAACCAATCATTAATAAAAGGTTCAGCCTAATGACGAGCTCCAAGAAACGTCAGACCACCATCCAGCAAAGTCAGTCTCCACTTGGCATGGCGTCATGCAAGCAATTCTGATGGTGTGAACCGGATCCTTGATGCACAGGCTGACCTTCCCGAACCCACATGTCAGATAGGCACGGGCCTTCGTCATTGGCCTCGCTCCATCTGTCACAATGGTGTGAACTTTTGGCAATATTGAGTCATACCTGACTGGCCGGCAAACAACATTTAGAGACCCTCAACAGCCTGGTACACTTATGGTACACAAACACATCAGGAACACCAAATTAAAAAAACTGATGAGTCAGTCGACTGGGTTGCAATGTTGCGTCAAACACGCCATCAAGGCTTGTGCACGCTGCCGCCAGTAGCCCTGCAATGCTCTGGCAAACCTTTATGGCATAGTCTTCGTCGTAGTTCTGCAAGTCACCACTTCTTGTGGGAACCTTGAACTTGGCGATTCAACAATTGTCATTAGGGTCTTGTGACAACAATAATGACGACTCCGACAAAAATTATTAAAATCATCATCAAAGCAGCCACACCAAGTAACCCACGGTCAACCAAGACATGCCCCTTCGTTGTCAATCTGGCTGCCTGGAACCGAACCAAGCGGTATGGATCCTTGTCATCAATTGTCAGGCACAACGAGGAGCAGTCAGACAGAATGGAACGGTTGTGTTCTCGCACTGTTTCAGCCATTATTGAGCACATGTTGCGAATCTGCTTCCTGTAGGGGCCCCTTGATCTGGCATCTGTCAAGCTTGTCAAGTACTCTTCCACATTCATATGTTTCTCCTAAGTCTGGAGGCGAGAAGACTAATTTAATGCTCAATGTCAGTAAACAGCCACATAGGAATGTTTTTAACAAATAATTAAATAATATAATGGCTGAACATGCCAAAATTCGGCCGTGTTGAATGAAGCATGTCGCAGCATCTGCCAAACACGGACCCAATCCTTCACCTGAAGGACAGCTCCCCGCAAAAGGTCAATGTCATCGACATTGTCAGACATGATGTCAATCAGAGTCTTGACTGGCCCAGGGTCCAAGAAGTTCTGACAGGCCAATTTGTGCATTGAAGAACGCATGTGCTGCACAAAGCAAGAAGACTGCATGCTTGCCAGACTGCGCCTCGGAGTGTCCACAATTTATAATTACTAGTCAGTTGAGAACAGTCCGCAATGAATGCATCAGACTGATGCCCGGCCGGGCATTACACAGTGACTGTT